CCCCCCCCCCCCCCCCCCCCACTTGTCGTCATGTGTATCAACACGTTGCGAGATGCCGCTTTGTCCTTTTGCCAAAAGCAGAACAGAAACAAGCGCATGTTGGGCATTTCTAAGGAGCAGGCCTTAGTAGAACCTTACTGTCTCTCTGGCCCATTCTGTCGTTCAATATGATTAGAGCTGATCTTCTGCCTCAGTACCATTTCCTTCCCTGCTCCCTCCCCCCCACCTCCCAATATCTAGTCACGAGAGCAGAAATCTCCACCCTCCCGTCTCCATCCCTCGCAGACCCCAGGAGAGTTGAAACTTGACTTGTCAACTCTCTCTTCTCTCCTGCCCAGCTCTGTGATATTTTAACGGGATAGTGATTTTTTTTTTGAGTGGAGCAGTGTGCAAGGGGAGAGGATTGGGTAGATGTTTGGTTATGGGGTGAGGAGGGTGGGAATAACACTTATAACTTCCCCCCACCCCAGTGGCCGCACCCTGCAGCGTGCAGCGTGACTGTTGACATGGTAAAGTTGCACAGGACGAATGTTTGACGCTGTAATTGGTCGAGACCTCCATAAATGCTGGCTAAGCTTTCGTGGGGGTGGGTTGTTTTGGGCTTTAAAAGCTTGTCTGGCTCCACTTTTAACACTTGTCCTTGTTTAGCGAGATGGAAATGGCAGAATCTATAAACCTTCAAATCCAGAGCTAGTCAGGCCTGTTGGTTTCATTATTTTTTTGCTGCTGAACCCCCTGGAGTGCTGCCTTGGTTTTAATTGATTTCCCCCTCCCACCCCATATAATTTTCTCTCTCATTGTTTTTTTTTGATTTGGGTAAAATGTGTGGCCTTGTCCAGGTACAAATCTCAGGAGCCTGTCCTCGGGTGGCAAACCCCTTCAGTCTGGCATGCAATGGACACAGAGAATCTGGTGGTTTTAACCGGGTGGCGTGAAACCATGCTGTGCGAGCATTTTACTTCCTGTCCGGGCCAACAGAGGAGTGGGGGAGCTATGACTACTTATAAATCCAGCCGCGAGAGGGTTTCCGCAAAGAATTAGCGGTGGCTCAGCCTGTCTCCCACCACCACCACCCAAAAACAGAAATACTGCTGCTTATCTCTGAAGCTGCATATGTTTATATTTTCTTAAAAAAAAACGCACAAATTTGAAATGGTGGTGGTTCCGAAGGGGTTTCTTGTGGGAAACGTAAGAGAGTTTTGGCGCAAGGTGACATCAGACTGTGAAGGTTGGGGCAGAGGGCGGGGTGGGAGGGGAGTGCTGTGTCTATAGCCCATTTCCTACCTGTATGTCCCAGCCACTGGGTTGGTTGGGTAGAGGAGAAGAAATCTTGCGAGGTCCATCCAGTAGGGAAAGCAACTTCAGCGTGACTATTGACATCGTAAAATCGAATGAGACTTTGCCTCGAGTGAGGCATCCCTTGACCTGTGCGCTCTCCCTCTCGCTGTTGTTGGCGGTGGATTCTCTCCCTTTCCAAGCACTGTGTCTCCCTTTGTCTCCCCCTTCCCCGGCATATGGCTCGGTACACTCTTGCAACATGTGTCTGCCCCCAGCTTTGGTGACTGTTCGTTCCTCCCAGCCCTTGACTTTCTCCTTGTCTATCTGGGCTCTTTTCTCCTGATGCTGAAACACACGTAGCTCACCAGAGATTGGTGTCCGTTCACCCACCCCTGTGACAACGCTGCCCCCCCAACTTTCGCAGCTGTGAGACCCACCCAGATTGAATTCCACCTGCACGTTTGGTTTCTCTGCCCCTTCAGAGGTCCTGCTTGGGTTGGTGAAGAGTTGCAGGCCATGCATTGGGAGGAGGTGTGTCAGCGAGGCCTGGGGCAGCAATGGCTGTGTTCCAGAAAACCTGTGTGGAATTGAGTGTTGGGAAGGGTTGCTATTTTAGATAACTCTGTCAGATATGGGTCAGCCTTTCGAAGGTCCTCTCGTGATGGTCTGTCTGTTCCTAGGATTAGGAAGTGACTGGACTGGTTGCAGACTCTGAAGTGATGGGTGTGGGGGCAAGCAGGTGTGGCTCTCTGATAGAGCAACTGGAGTGAAGACATGCCCTTGGCTGAGGAGAGAGGGGACTTTGGGCTCTGTCTGAGGAACTGGCCTTGGCCGAACTTGGACCAATGGGAATAAGCTTCTGTGCGCTCCCCAATACGCAAAGATCCTCGTTAGGTGGTCTGGGCAGAGTCCCCCACCACAGGGTGGAAGGTACATATTGCCTGAGGCACAGTGGATAGGCTGAAGGCAGCTTTACTCTGTGTCTGGCCCCATGCTGTCCCTGTCCTGGGAACGTTTAATGGGGCAGTATTGAGGAAGCTTTACTGTGTACCTAACCCTGTCCCAGGAGTGTTTAATGGCGGGGGAAACAGTGTAGAGAGAGCTTTATTCTGTATCTAACCCCATGCTGTCCCTGTCCCTGGGAGAGTTTGATTGGGGGGAGGGGGGGAGAAATAGTGTAGTGGGAGCTTTACTCTATCTAACCCCATGCTGTCCCTGGGAGTGTTTGATGAGGGGGCAGAAGAGAAGCCTTACTTGCTGGCCCAGCCCTGTACGCTGACTCTGAGCCGGCTGGAATGTGGTTTTGTTCTGTGACTTGGTGTGAAGGCTGTGTTTCCCACTGGAGCGGTGTCCCAGCTGCTGAATTGTAACCAAGAGCCTTGGTTAGTGCGGATGTGAGCAAGTTGACAATTCTTGGGCCCTTTTCACTTCCACAGCAGGGAAGCTCCTGTGAGCTTTGCTGCAGCATTCCTGCTTAGGTCCCCTACCCTCCAGACCACTGGTTGACTTGACGTCGGATTTCTGCGTGTGCTGGTGACCCCCCCCCCCCCAACACCCAAAAACAAAACTGCATGTCCCTCACCTGTTCATGAGTCAACGCTCTGAAGGTCACAGGACCTGCCTGGTTTGGGCACCCTTGCAGATATGCAGAAGACTTGCTGCTGTGTTGCGAGGAACAAGTCCCACCATCCAGTTCTTTCCCTCCCTGTTTCTCTCCTCACTCCCTCCTGTCGCATCCTGTTCTGTTTCACTCAACCCTGAACCGCTAACTGCCTCAACAGCCAGAGAGAATCTGCTACTGAGACAGGATACAAATATGGCTTGAATCTCTTCTTGTTTCTGTAAGACGCCTGGTGGCCGAGTCATTGATCATTTTTAATTTTCTTTTGCTTGTTTTTTTTGTGACCTTTTCCCAAGTCCTGGGAACTTTGCTTCTGCCCCTTTGTGTGAGAGCAGGAGTGGTTGGGGAGGGATTGTTGGCATGGGTGTCTCATTACTTACAAAACTGATGGGTGCCGTGTCTGGGGTGCAGTGCTCCATTGAGGGGCGTGGGGGTGAAAGAGAGAGATGCAGAGTGAAACGTGACCCTGAGCAATTTCTCAACGCTGCACTCCACCAGGAATTGTAATCCCTTTTTTTTTTGGAACGGGCCGCGGAAGGCACGTAACCTGCTGTTCGGTTCAGTGTGTCTTGGGACAGAGGAGGAGGGAACCGTGTTATTTGGCTGGGGAGGAGGACTGTTCGCGCTTCCCTCCCGCTCTGGGAATGACCCTGTTATCCCCCAGCCAACGAAGGCAAGCATGGAGCACTAGTGGAGGCCGGCTCCGATCTCCTAGGGTGGGCAAGTATCTCCCCTCCGCTACCCTCAGCCCAGTGACACCATCACTACATTGACTCTGTGTGTCCCTAATACTCCACCTCCCAGTTCAACCTGTAGAGAAATTGGATAAATCTGAAGGGTACGGGTGGCGGAGGGACACGGTGAAATTGAGGTGGAGGGGGCACATCCTCCTATTCCTGTGCCCGTCACCACTTGTGTGGTAACCTCAGGCTCATGGTGAGAGCTCGAGGGCCACTGAGTGAGAAACGGAGCGTCTAGAGTTGGTACACACGGTGTGTGGGGCCAAGGGGCTTCAGGGGAGGTGATAGTAGGACAACACATCTCAGAAACCAAACTGTACCATGGAGAAGTCAGAATGAGTGAGCTAATAAATTGTAACTCCACCCTGTCACCTGTGAGGGTAAAATGAGGGGAGAACTCTGGAATTTCATGATCATTGACTATAATGTAAAATTACTTTTGTTTCATAGTGTAGGTAGAAGCAGTAAGCAAGTTTTTTTTTGTCAGTATTTGAAATAAATTTTACATCGTTTTACTGGTTACCCAGTGTGTGTGTTCATGATGCCGCATGGGGTCTTAGCATAGACTGTCTGTTCGGATGGTGCTGGACATTGGGTTTGCAGTTTTCACAATGCCTGCCACACTCTTGCACCTCTAATCTCCGTGTCCCTGTAAAGGAGGCCATCTCTTCCTGGTACTGCCTTGTACTAGTGTCAGCACTGAGGGAGCAGGCACTGTCGGATGGTCAGTGCTGAGGGAGTGGGCACCATCGGAGGGTCAGTGCCGAAAACAAAAGTATCAATCTCTGATGTAACAAGGTGTAGAGCTGGTTGAACACAGCAGGCCAAGCTGCATCAGAGGAGCAGGAAAGCTGACGTTTTGGGTCTGGACCCTTCTTTAGAAATGGGG